GGCATCTGAGGTACGCAGCGACAACTGCTAGTACCTTTGAAAATACCCTCGGAGCTGACGAGAGGCCGAAGGGGAGAACATTGTATTGGAAATGATCTGGGCCGAGAGTAAAGCGTAGACAGTGTCTGTGGGCAGGATGGATAGTTACATGGAAATACGCATCTTGCAGGTCGAGGGCTGCGAACCAGTCCCCTTGATCTAGCGCAGGAATGATTATTGTAAGGTGCGACTATTTTGAAGCGTTGTTTCCTGAGAAACCTGTTCAGTTTGCGGAGGTCTAATATGGGCCTCCAGCCCCCCTTTTTTTCCCTCCATCAAGAAATAGTTCGAGTAAAATCCTTTCCTGTGAAACTCTACTGGTACTCTTTCTATGGCTCCAATTGAAAGGAGTCGATCGACCTCTTGTTTTAGTCGAGTCTCGTGAGAGGGGTCCCTGAAAAGGGACAGGGTAGGGGGAAGGATAGGTGGGGTAGTGGTAAATGGGATAGTGTAGCCTACTCGAATTATGTCTAGAACCCAGCGGTCCGATGTTATAGATTCCCATTGTGGGAGGAACGGCCGCAAACAGTGGGTAAAAAGATGGTCATGTTGCGTTATTGCTAGATCGTGAGGGAGGTATTGCAGACCCTCGACCACCTCTTCAAATTTGCTGCTTGGAGGACTGAGCAGTTGGTGGGCAGCCTTGATTAGGCCGCCTTCTCTGAGGTTGTCGTCTTGGCCTAGTGTCCTCATAGGGTCTCTGTGGTTGGTTGTATTGCCCATATCTGTAGCGATTGTACGTGTTATTGGGGTGTATCATCTGCGTTTGAAAGGCGGTGTTGTACATGCCCAATGTGCGAAGTGTGGTTTTCGAGTTCTTACTGTTGTGTAGCATTTTGTCTGTAGAAGCTGCAAATAATTTTTGTTTATCGAATGGTAAGTCTTCTACTTTGGGCTGAAGTTCTCGGGGAACTCCAGATGACTGTAGCCAGGAAGTTCTGCGCATGACTATCGCCGTAGCTGTAGTCCTAGCTGCTGTGTCAGCAACGTCCATTGCTGTTTGGAGAGCAGTGCGAGCAACGGTATGGCCTTCATGGACTATTGCTTTCAAGATAGCTCTTTTGGACTCAGGGAGATGTGGTATCAGTTCTCCCAACTTTGAATAATTATCAAAGGCATGATTCGCTAAGAGGGCAGAATTTGACATTCTTAGTTGTAGGGTAGAAGAGGAGTATATCTTCTTGCCAAAGAAGTCTAGCTTTTTATGGTCTTTGTCCATATTGCCATTCTTGTATTGCAGTACCTTCGCTCTTTGCTGTGCAGATTCAACCACTAAGGAGTTTGCTTGTGGATGTGTAAAGAGGAAATCGTTGTCTTTTGGTGGAACGAAATATTTTCTGTCAATCTTTTTATTAGTCGGTTGGATGGATGCGGGTGTCTTCCACAGATCCTCAGATGTTTCCATGATTGCCTCGTCAATTAGCAGGGCAATCTTACTATGCAACGTAGGATGCAGGTTCTTTAACAAGTGATGTTGTTTCTTT